CACGTTGTTGAGCGAGGCACCCGTGATGTAGTCTTTTTAGTCTATCCGTCTTTAGTCAAATGCTATGATACATGCGAGTGAAGACTGTATCCAGGACTAGAAAAATGATATGGAATTTCTTGTTTAGCCAGATGAGTCCTTCTTTGATTATTATGTATATGGTATGGATGGTGGCACTGTCTTCTGCACATGATCATGTTATTCGACACGCTTATTGAACTTGCAATGGGAATGAAGGCCTCACTTTATGGAGACTAGCAGCTCAATGTGTTTGAGTTGCACGCCAACGCTGGCAGATGGATTCCTTGTACTCTGGTGATTAAAAACTGCTCGATTGTGTAAAAAAAAACTTTTGAAATTAATGCTGTCACTTGTCTCTCACAGCTGCTTGCCTTATTTTGTATTTCGCGCATCTTCTGTCAAGAAATGCTTCCTCTCTTGAATGGTACCAGGTTTTTGGTTCTTTTAAAGACGTTTTCCTGCAAGGAGTGTGAAAAATTTGGAATGGTGGTGGAAAGAATAAGAATGCTACGATGAAACCCTGCAACCATTACTGAGTAAAAACAGAATAATTTCCTGTCCACTTTTGTGACGTCGATTTCGAAAATGAAAACCAACAGTTGTATGTGTAGCCTAAGGGTCCGATCTTTTGCTCCTTCTTCAAGAATAGAACCTTTTCGATTTGTAGTTAGATTTTTAGTCTGCTTACCGTATACCGCTACACTAATGCATTTTCATTCATCAGGAGAATGAGCCTTATTGGCTACGATATGAACACTGCGATGTATCATCTACAAGTGTAAGGGTGCTAATTCAGTGAAATCTACTTCTCCACCATAGAGGTTGACCTGGCTTATTGCCTGGTTTGCCAGTTTACCCAACTTATGATCTGCAGACTCTTAAAACGGCTTAGTATATGTGAATCTATCGTTTTCACTTTCAACGAAACGCATGCAGGAACCCTGTCTGCTTTAAAGTCGAATGAGGGTTGTCTGAGTGGTCCCTTGTTATTTATGGAGTTTGCAGAGAGATACGTTTCGACTTTACTGTTTAACCTTGTTATCGACTTTCCCTCAACCGGAAGAGTGTCCTGAAAATAATTCAGAAGAATTGATCCCTGCAGTGGGGAAGGCATTGTTTGAGATACCGGACAGATAGATTACTAAGCGTAAGTATGTGGATGATATCATGTTTGTAAATGGCACCGGCAGTTGCCATTGTCACCTTACGGCTTCCTCGTTCGCAGCCACTAAAGACGAATTCTACATTATTGGCCCATGATCTAAACTTACGAAGAACCTAATGGTGACCGTAGACCACAGAAAATGTCGACCTTAGCGTTGCCATCAACCCATCAGATTTTCACCGTAAGATCATCCTAACCTTCAATGCTTTTGGTAACCATTCGTGCATATAAACTAAGGACGTTGTGGCCATTTCAACGACCCCTTGGCTTGCATCTTGCCTCTGTCAGGTCGTTGTTGTTCTACCTCAGGGAGAAAGTTATTTTAACTGAGGAGCAGGAGCGAAAGCTCAACTGCGTACTAAGAGGTTCAAGTGAAATTAAGGGGCAATAATCAACTGTCTTACTCTGGATAGTTGCCCTTGTTTTAGCAAATTTGTTGAGCTATATGCCAGTCGGGGTGCATCGTCTGCGAAAGTCTAAACAGGGCATACGTCGACATTGACGCTAGCACGCAACATGGAAGGATAATTAAGCAACATGAGGCAGAATGGCTTTCGAAGAGGAGCAGTTTTTCTAAAATGCCATGACTGCTTCCTTATACCTAATGTTGCTAAGCTACGAGGAGAGCAGAGACACCAAAAGCTAGAGACGTTCTGCTAATGCAAGATGCTCAGCGTGTTGATCATAAAAGCAACAGCAAAAATAATAAATTAACGAGAATGAAAATGTTGGCAACAAAAGCCATAGCTTTATTGTGTGATTCAATAATGTGATCGAATGAGTAAAAAAATTCAAAAAGAGGTTGATGTGACTTACGTAATCGGCGGTGATCGAGGAAAACCGACTGGAATGCCACGTTTCAGACGGGATACCAGCAAACGAGGGTATGTCACCCAACGTCACGCGAAGACGGCCTCTTCGTCGGCATCTGACGTACGTGCCGGGACTCCAGAGCAACGAGAGGAACGTTCTCGAGGATTCGCTCTGACTCCCAACCACAAGGACGACGTCTGATAAGAACACTAATCCGTCATCGCTCGTATTCTGTATTTAATGCGATTTATCGCCTTCACATTGTAAGTTCATATGACGAGAATTTACGTAATGAACTTATCCTTGCTACGAATAAAGTCTACTATGCGTGCACAGGCATCGGCAGAGCAGAAAGGCATCCCCTGGGACTGTGCAAAACAACGACGTTGCTGAATCACTCGATCAACGGCGCCCGAAGCAGCTGAAGAGGGATGAGATAATGAAACTTTGCCGCGAACGTTAATTATCATAACCATTGGATATACCGAGTGATCCGGTGGCATGTTTTATAAAAGTTTTACGACGCCGAAAGAACTGCATGCAAAATGCTGTTTTCCAACCTAATCTAATAGTTTCTCTGAATCGAGATGACACATTGCTACCAAGCAATTATGTTGCAAGTTTCATATAGTTTTGAGTCATGCAGCAATCTTCCTTAGTTCGACCGTAAATGAATAACGTCGCAAAATCAGTAACGAATTTAAAGTTGTGCCGTCAGCTAAACACATGGTTATAAAACGGTGGTGTGTTTCGTCCAGAGGTAGTCGTGGCGCGAGCTACGGCATAGCCCTTGTGGGGTGTAATGTAATGGCGGTGGCGTTGCACCGGAGTCTGACAGAATTTTCTTATTGCGCTAACTGACAGCTT